TTGGTGCCTAAAAATTGGTCCTGGAAAGAGGGGCTTGTCTTATAATCAGGGTCGTCCTATATTCGGGTCAATACGGTAATATAAAGAGAGAAACATATTGAGTGTTCAAAATCAGTGTCAATGAGAAGCACATTCAGGTTTTCATGTTATTTATTCTAAGGAGAACATTTTTCAGCATTGAGAATTACATTATATTTCACAATAATTCAAAGTACAAGTAGCTACTGTACTATAATTGCTATGTGAAAATCGTTACTACTGTAGATGCGTTTATTCAAAATGTTCTAGTGTAATAAATTTGGGCAGCATGCAGCAATCTACTGATTGGAGGAGTTCACCCAGACTACAATGATGGTGATGAAGGCGACCGATATGAAGACGATGTAGAGGCCGAAGAGCAGACGGTCAATGATGAAGCCCACCTGGATCCACTCCTCTGAGCTCTGGGTCTCTTTTGTCTGCTGCTCCGCCTGAAGGCGGAGGGTGTGCAGGATGTGGCTGAGGCTCTTCAGCTCCTGTAGGGCCTCGTCCTCCTCCACTGGACCTCCTGTTTTGGGAGGTTTTACATCAAACGTATTTGTTGTTCCTGTGAAAATATTAAATGAGTTAACTAAACTTTAAGAACCTGAAGACTGAACTTCAGCTGCAGAAATGCAGGAAGCTGCAACTCATTACCAGGCCCTTCTTAGAGGATAGATTTTAAATTTAAATTTTCTCTGAATAAAAAAGGTTGATATCTCTGCAGTGATGCTACCAGAGTCCTTACCAGCACAGCAAAAAGCAATCCTATCATACTATTTATAAATTAGTGCACTTGCTTCCTGTTTGTCCAAGGTTAGAGTATAAAAATCTGATGGCATAGAAAGCGCTGTTACTGGTTTGTCGTGAGCCATGCAGACCCCTAAGGTCATCAAATACCTCTTATATCTCTGTTCTTATAAAATATTGCTAAAGAGGTGGAGGAAGAATTTATTTTTTATTTTTCATCAACTCAGGAAGATGCTTCCTGCAGATGTGAGATAAGCAGAAACTCTTGTCTCGTTCAGGTATTATTAAAATATTACTGTTAGGGCTCACCTATAAAGGCCATTATTATTTCTTTTGTGACTCATTCCCTTATTTTCTCTAATTTTACCAAGTAAAATTTTTTTTATGCAATTATCTCTCATTTTTTATTTGTTTAAGTGATATTCATGGTGGCTGACAGAAGCGAATATCCTAGGTTTGTGTAGTTCACAGGAATTAGTATGTTTCTAAGTCGTTTATGGATGAAGTTTCTAAACATTGAATATATTTAAGTACATATTAGGCACAAAGGGGAGAATATTTGCTTATGTAGGTTGCAGAAGAGGAAGCCTAAAAGAAGAGGCCTAAAAACATATCTGGGCACATGCCGTACTGCAGCTAATGGTAGAGCCAGACTCGCAGGGGTCTGATTTATAAAGCATGCATGCTCACAAAACAGGGCCTGAAACTTGTATACCCCCCTCCAACACATGGATAACATGTTTGTGTTTACCTCAGGTTGGCCAAATAAAGTTTTTTAAAATCGAAATAAAACCTTATACCTGTTCAGCCTTGGTACTAGAGTAAATAATTTCCTGGACAGTAGCAAAAGTAAGATCAAATATTATTGGTGCTGTACTAGAATTTGCATGCATGCAGCTCTAAGGATGGCCTGCACTCTCCCTGTGACTGTTGCATCTGCAGAGGAGAGCTCTTCCAAACTCAATTAATACAAAGCTACGTTTTGGGAAAATGATTTAGTGAGTCTGCTGTGATTAATAATAACAAAGATGTCTGTAAGATATCTTTCAGAGATGACTCCAAACAGAAAAGCTTGGAAACATTGTTTATAAGGGAGAGAATGCTTTCAATGAAGAAGTGTTTAAAAAAGGTCAAAGGTCATGTCGGCAGAGATAATTCGAGAGCATTTGTATATAATATATAGAATAAATCATTAAAATTCCTTTTTCTGCCTGGTTCCAGGTAGCATTTTATTTCCAATTCAGGTTGCATTTTATTTAAGAACATGCTTAATATCTTATAGTTTGATTTCATGAAGTATGTTTTTGTAACATACAATATAATTTATATTATATTGTTTATCAAATTAATATATTATATTAATATTACATTATTTTTTTGTTATAGTTATTTTACCACAGGCTATGTTTGCATATTGCTCTTGTAGGTGGAACCAAATATTATAAATCAAATGAAACCTTTGCTGTAATTACATGTAACATTTGTCTATTCTATTACTTTTAATAACACAAGATGATGCACACCAACAGAAGACTGTATTCAGGACTATTAGGGCTATAATAAGTTTAAATAGGCAAGAAAATGATCTGATCATCATTGATTGCTGCAATCTATTATTGTTATTGGTAGAAATAAATCAAATTCTTCCTAGGGGTCCCATTGAGACTTGGGCAGGTCATGTGTAAGAGAACATACATTTCTTTTCATTAAATGAATAATTCAGTGAAATACTCTTTTTTATTATGAATTTTAATGAACTGTTTCAGTACAATAGAACATATTAATGCAGCAAAACATTGAAACAGGCCAACACATGCATGATGCAAACTCAAAAACATAAAAAAATGAGAAACTTGGCCTCACCGTCCTTTCACTCATATAAATATGAAGCTGTTCTATCATATTTAAAAGATAATGACCAGACATGTAAAAAAAAAAAAAAAAACACATTAAGGCATGCGGTTTTTTTTAGTCCTCTATTAATTGACAGTTGACTCCGCCTAGTGGTCAGCTACAGCTTTGTTTTCTGGAGTGAGTTTGAGATTTTCTATTTTCAGGCAATGAGTGTGGTATTTGCTTGTTGCTTATTAATCTTTTTATATATCCTGTAATTGAAGCTTCTGTTTTTGCTTTTTTTTTTTTAAATAGTGTTTTTTTTATCAGCATTTTCCTTTTGCAAAGTTATACTGTTGAATAAAATGTATTGCTTTTGTACCTGTCAGTCAACATATTTTTTATGTAATACGTGTTGTTTTTATCTCTTCTTACCTCTTGTTATTTCACGTTGTGTTAGGAATGAAACTGTGTAAAAATGGTGTAAAAATAAAAAGCTTTCCCCTTGTTATTACATACCTGAATCCTTTGGTTTCTTATTCCTTCGTGGCATGCAAACTAGACAACCAAGAAAATTCAGAAATACTGCCTGGACCCACTGAGGGACAGGAGAGAAGTCAGATGCGTTGTTTAACAAGTAGGTGATAAAGATCGTCTCCAACAGACTGCCCACCATCAGAACCAGGCAAAGGGAGAAGAACACATCTAGAAGAAAAAAAGGACAGAGTATGTACAGTTTAAAACTTATGATTTTAAAACCTGAGTAAAAAGTATATACCAGAACTATTTTATATATTGAAGCAAAGGTCTCATTTATTAGTATCTGGAAAATTTCTAATATTTCCCTGGTCCAACACACCTGAAACAAAAGTAAATGAGAATAACACCATGCAGCCAAATCCTGCAGATTATGTTTAAGGATCTATTTTATGCAGGCTGGTTGCTAACATCTGGGAATATAATTTTATTTGTGTTTCCCTTATATTTCTTGAGCAAATCTTTTCTCCTAAATGTGCTTTATCAACACAGGTTACACTTGATTTGTTGAAGCAGATTAATTTAGGATTAACAGACATTAAAAGATATCAGTCATAAGGGACATTTTTAAAGTACTGCACCAAAATTCTCTGTAGCTCATACTGACTTATTAGAGGTATGGTGTTTCCTGTGATAGGCAGCAAGTCACTCATAATGAGCAGGAATACGGTGTAGCCCAGGATGAGGGTCATCTTAAAGGAGGATCTGTCTGTGCTCTGAGGAGGCAGGAGGAAGCTAAAGAGATCCACCGTAATGAGGAAGCAGCTGGGGAGCAGCAGGGTCACCACGTACATGGTGGCACGGCGTCGCACCCGGATCTGGAAGACGAACATACTCAGGATTTATTCTGCAGGAAATACAGGTAACAAATTAATTATATAAAACATGCTATGAACCTACATAAAATACAAGCCTGTCAATGTAAAGATCAGACACATCATTCATCGGCTTCTGGGCTGTGATATCCAGCAGCTCCCATTCACCTAGGGTGGTCATCACATTCTTGGAGGATGCGGTGATTATTTTTGGGTCTCGCCCTAAAATCACGTTTATCTCAGTAGCTGGGGAATAAAAAAAAAAAATAAAAAAAACCTCAGACAACCATGATGGGAAAAAAACTACTTTGTTTCAAATTCAATTACTTTGATCTTGACAGAATGAAATACAACAGTAATTACAGAAAGAAAGAAAAAATCCTTTTGGTTAATTATTTTTACACTTTAACCATTTGGGATTTCATGTCAAAGATCAATAATACAAAGTGCATTTTTTATGTATTTAGGAAAATGTTGGCACACTTCCATAATCATCACAGATGAACACGTCTTGGTCGATTTGCAGTGAGGCCAAACTCTTTTAGTCCAACGTCTAAAAGAATAACTCTATATCCTAATTCGATGAATTTTATATTGGGATATCAAATTAAAAACATTGCAAACACATACTTTACTGCTCTTTATTTGTTGGCAAAGGCAGAGATAACCATTTTTCCATTTTTCTTCCAGTTATTAATTATGTTTTTTTTTTTTTTTCTTTGTTGGACTGTTAGTGATAATAAAACAGACTGTAGTTTGTGACTATAATGTGAAAAAAGTTTAGTAAGTAAAGTCAACTTTGCAAACTAAAGAACATTTCTGTCATGTTGCATTAAATTACACTATTTGAAAAAATACTAGATTCTCTGTCACTGTTATTCTCTTTTTGCAATAACAGCTTTTTACTGTAGTACTAACTACCACATTGAAACTTTTTAAATTATCGGAAATGATAGTGGTTCCTTTGAACACTAAATCTGCTTTTTACATTACCATAACAAATACTGTATTTCCAAACGTTTTTAGTTTAGAAAAGATATACAGCTTTGTTGCAGCGACTCACCATCATAGACGTAAGAGTTGAAAGTCATAGAGCAGTTCTGTATGTCGAAGGGGAAAGTATAGATGTCGAGGTTACAGGAGCTCACAACTCTAAGGGGAAGACCCTCTTGGACCCTTCCATCACTGTACAGGTGCAAATATGGCACAGATGGTGCTTTGTTTTCCTCCATGCTGAAAGAGCAGACAATGCAAATGTTTCGAAGCAAAGCATGGATTATTATTGCAAACTTAGTAAAGACATTTATTACTGTTATTGCCAGAAGCACAGAGTGGGTAAAGCTCAACAAATAACATTTGAAAAATGATATACTTTTTCAAAGAGATCTATTTTAGTGTTGGGCAAGTTTTGCACGTTATGCTTTGATAGGACACTACTCACAACTCACTGATGACAATATCTGGAAGCCAAAAGTTCTTCTTGGGAAGAGTAATCATTTCTAGGCCACACTGAACCGGGTTCCACCTGGCAAACTCAATCATCCACCACTAGAAAAGGAAGAAAAGAGCAAATGTAATAGCATAAAAAGTGATTTTATTAAAGTGATCCCTGTTCCATACAAGATAAATGAATAAATCAAATCTACCACTAAAGAGACTGAGTTTGATGACTCTTCTACTTACGTAGTGCAGCCAAATGTAAGTGATTAGAACTTGTGACTTTTCATCCTGGATGACAATAAGCATAAGACATTGTTGACTCACAACTGTTTAAAATGAGCTTTTTTAGTGTACATTTTCAACATGGACATCACATGAAAAAAGCATGATGAGTAAATATGGAAATCTAAATTATAGAATCTCTTAAAATGAGTGTTGAATAATATCTTTAAAAACACTGAAGGTCAAATAAGAAAGAATACAGCTTTATAGGATGTAAAATTGAACATACCACTCCTAATATCCCGTAAAGAGTAAAGTAGACAGTGATGTTTGAGCATGTTGTTTGGTTCACAACTGGCCGTATGGCCTTCAGGTCAATGACGGGGCCCAGAGCTGCAAGCAAGCCCTCTTGGTCTGCTTTGGAGCAGTTTACATTGAATGTGCTGCAAAAACCTGAGCAGGACAATTCATAAGCATTGGTGAGACTTAATATGTAGAATATTCCCTCCGAACTGTAACATTAAGTCAAAAATAATAGTGATTTAATGGTTACAAATTGTTGATTAAATTGTCTCTGGTTCTAAACCATATCTTAAGAAATTATAGGTAAAAACATTATTTAAAAGCTCACCTGGAGTATTAAGAATGAGAATAAAAACAGTGGTTGATGAAAGAAAACCCTAAGAAAGAGTTAATTACCTATTATTGGAGATTAAATTGATGTTAAAAAGAAGAAATGTGTAATGCAGTTTGCAGAAGGATAATGTAATATACCTTTAGCGTAGATTCCTTTGATGCCATGATGAGAGTGAAGGTGTTGGATTTTAGTAGCAGACAGGTGGACAAGTCTTCATCTAACTTGGCAAGCCGGAATAATAATGTGCAGCATTCGGGTTGTTTGTGAATTAAAAACTACCGCGAGAACTCAGCTTGCAGCTTGTGGGCTTCTTCGTGTTTTACCTATCATAGACTAAGTCTCATACAAAGCAGAATTAGGTGACGGATGTCTATCCAACTAATGTTGTAGGGCTGAAATCCAGTGAAGAAGCTTTCATTTCGAAAAATGATTTTCATACGATTCAAAGAAAAACCACAGTTAACATGATTCACCTCGATTTTAAACTTGCATACAGTCTGACCGCACGGCTATGAGACACACCTGCTGGTTATAAGCAAATAAACAGCAGATGGTTGGATGGACGTGTTTGGTTTCTTGCCAATCTGTACTATTTCTGCATAATCATCATTTCAACCAATTTTTTGAATGTTATGTCATATTTTTATTGGAAATAAACTTTATTTATATTTGAAGCATTATTCATTTCTTCAATATGCAGCTTTCATATAGTGCATTGTAAGGGTACAGACCCCTCAGTGGGTCAAGAGGTCCAAAAGGCTTGGAAGGATAGTAACAGGAGCTGATAGCTTCCTTCCAACCAATTCAAGGCCTTGCACTTAAAAATTTCAGTATTTTTTCCTTAAATATGTCAAAATTTTTGCGACCTATTTTTGTTCTGGTGTTCAATTTTGTCTAAGTTGTTTTTTCAAACCATAAAAAAGATAAAAGAAAGAAAGAAAATTATGATGCAGTGATTAAAAACAGCAAACAGCATAAAGAAATATTAGGGTAACATGCACATGATGAATAAAAAGAAGCAAAACGAATATCATCTAGACACCGTCCAAAAGCGAAGTCATGTTCATGTGTTTGTTTGAAAGTCTAAAGCAGGAGTTAGCACACGAGAAATGACAAACTAGTGCAAACTGGAAAAGGAATATGTCAGAAAGGGGAAAAATACGGTTTCATACCATTGTTCTTTCAAACAAGGATTTTAAAAAACAACTGAACTTCAAAAACCTTTTACAGAGCTGTTAGGTACCTTACTTTTCTATTACCAGTGTTGCAACATAGTCATATATTAGTGGAAATGTTTTCATTGTTTTAATGTATCATGATTGTCTCTGCCCAAAACTCATCTACTGATTTATATTAAATACCCCCTAAATGTAAGTACTGAAAAAAAATTAAGACATATAAGATAAAAGTTGAATCACTGTCTTTATACATTAATAGCAAATATCTTGTTGAAGTAGACAGTTCATTAACCTTTTCTGAACTTATTGACTTCTGCAAAAAAAATTCCTGGACAACATTTGGGCAACACCACCCCTATCTAGATATTATGAGACATCTTTTTTTGTTATATCTGGTTTCATAATGGAAAGATGAAAGAAGATCAGATCAACATTTTATAGGTTTGGTGATCAAATTAGTTGAGGGTCTTCTATGAACTGATGGAGCGACCAACATCTGATGGAAAGGATTACGCTGGTGAAGATTCTCCAGTCATCCAAGTCATAGTCATTCCAAAAAAAGAAAATGAAAAACAATCCACTGGACTTTGTTTCCAATTTTGAAGATGTTTTGCTTCCCATCCAGGAAGCTTTTTTAATTCAAAATTTAATTGAATTGAAAAAGCTTCCAGGATTAGCTTTTACTACAAATCAGACTTGCACAAAATGGAGGAGGGTGTTATCACTAATGTGTCTCTTTCCTCAAGCACAACAAAAAAGACAAAAGTGGAACGTTTCTTAGTGCTATAATCTCTAAATGATATATTGTTAAAGTTCATTGAATTCAGTCCTAATATGAAGAAAGATAATACACACATTTAAATAGAATCCAGGGCACTGTTTATTTGCTACTGGAATCTTTTAAATTAAAATTATAAAATATTTCTGAAGGACGATAGGTCCTTCATTTTTTCATCTTGTCATTTTTCATGATAAGAGTGAAAAGAGGCTTCTGCAAATAACTACTAATTGCCCGATTTTCACATTTCTTGCAAACCAACAGAAGAGACTGTTTTCTTTTCACAATTAAATGTTTAATTTCATGTTCCACCAAGTTAGAATACCATAACACCATAACACCAAAATGAATCCAAAACAATTACAATATGTTTGCACAAAATTATTACATCTTTTTTTTTTTTTTTTATTGTGCATCTTTTTAAAACAGTGTAATAAGAAACTTATTTCAGATCTGTTCTTAATATTAAACGTTGATTTATTCTCATGCTTGAAAGCCAGTTTACCAAAATGACAAATCAGTTAGAAATACCTTTTCATCAAAACCTACTGAGACCAGGGGCGGACCTTAGGCAAAACTAGGCAGTTGCCTAGGGCCAAAGTTCCTGGGGGCCCCATAAAACTTTAATTAATTAATACAGCTATTCCTTATCTCTGCACATTAATTATGTTTTTGATAAATGTGAATTAGCTAACATGCCATCAGAAGGCTTATAACATTAAGTGTGTCTGGCATGCAGTGTGGAACTAAACAGCTGATTTATATGTATTTTATTTACTTGCTTCTTTCTATAAAAGCTAATACTCTTAAAATTCTCATAAGTTTTCCCTTCCAGCTATCTTCTGCACTGCTTTGCCAGACCAAAAAAAAAAAATATATATCGCAGGGATTCTACAGCTGGATCATCTAATGCCTTATAGCACCTTTTAGGAGAGACAATAGCGGCCTTTCTTGCTGGGGAGTAGGCAACACTGGGGAAGATATGAGAGGGGCAGAGAAGAGAAGCTACTGATTAAAAATTCTAAATTTTGACAAAAAAAAGTCTTTAAAAATATGAAAAAACTTATAATTAATTTGAAATTGGTGTGTCTCATTTATGTAATTTAGTAGCAGTTGGTCTCCAGGCAAGGGATTTATTTATTTGTATTTCTCACGCGTGCGTAGTTCGGAAATTTGTTGATGATCCCTAGAAGAGGGAGTATCAGAGAACGGTTGGCTGAAGTCTGAGCTCCTGAGTTGGATCGACGAAGCTTGAATACCGGTATCTAGCTTATAACTAACTTTGCTGCAGCAATTCATGACAGATTTCTGAAGCAGTCTTAGAGTTCACAAAGTTCTTGTTCTCAGCACATTGCATACTGCTGAATTCTTTCTATCTTGTGGCATTTTGAAAGAACTTTGTCAAGAAGAGCCAGCACCATTGCAGCCATGTAAATTTCTGTAGGCAACTGTTAGGACAGCTCAGTGACAGACTAGGGGATATTTCATATTTCCGATATTATAAAAATATAGTTTTGAGAAGTCCAAACTTCACTAGTTCAAATTAGATGAAATATCTTGATTATAATTCCGGATGTGTGAAACTTTAAATGACAAATCAGATGACCTCATTTGAGATATCTTAAAATGCATTTTAAATATCCAAAATGTGATTAAAGATATCTTGAATTGTTAGTTTTCCTTAGACATAATATAAAAATATAAAACATCATTAAGGGCAGTCAAAATAATCTTTGTCTGTTCTATTGAAATTTCTGTATCTCTATAATGGGTCTGTATAATGAGTTGCCTAGGGCCCCAAATTTCCTAAATCCACCCCTGATTGAGACACATTTAGTTTTAACTCAAATACTACATAGACATTTCATATCTCATGCTCAAAACATTAATGAACAATTGATAAATTATCACAGTTTTATGTAAGTACAAATCAACATGGATTTAATACATGGAATAACAAACACAGAAATATGAATATATAGAGGGAAAGAAAGATACATTTTGCAGATGATTTCCATAACTTTATCTATATTAGCTCATTCTCTGGTACAGACTCCTAATTTGCATCCCTCACAATGATCAGGCTCATGGGCACTCCTGACATGAAACTGCTCGAATGCCCTGTTTAGCTCTTCAATTTCTTCATGGTAGCAATTTCTTCTAACTTTCTCCACTAGGCTCTTCATCAGGACACAAATGTTGTCTCGGTTGATCAATGGCTTCACCATCGCTGCAGGGTCACAACTGTTGCATTCTTGACGTAAAGGCCTCACCTTGACAGTGCCCTGCCCTTCCTTTAGGTGCATGTGGAAAACCACCATGACCTGGTTTGAAGGCCAAGTTCTACTGCATGAGGTGCAGCTGAATCTAAAACAAAAGATAATATTTAATATTCTGTTTTATTTTATAGTACACAATCAAACAATATTCATTCTGCTATTTTTATATACATACATTGTATTTTTTCTTCCTAATTTATTTACTTTGGCAGAACACAAAGCTAAAACTATTTGTTAAGCACACTGCCGTTACTATAAAACAGTATTTCTTTTTAATTTTAAAGCAAAAAGTGTTTGGGTTATTTTTCAACTGTCTTATCTTTGACAAAAAGCTTTTATTGCACTTTCTTTACATGGTTTATATCAAAGTTGTAAACATTTCAAAGAGCTTGTGGTTGTTGAATCTGGTTTTAAATATGTCTGCTATCCACTATTTGCCTCTACTTGGCCTATAGGTTTAATTTCTGAGTGAAAATACATAAATTATTTGGACTCAGTGAGATTTTGAATAAAGGAAAGTGTAAGCACACTTCTGCTAACAAGCAGGACATCAAACTACCTTAATACTGAAATATGTTCTACAAGCAATTGTTAACAAAAGAAAAACATTTCCATAAATTACAATAAATTTGCCACTCCCTGGATGTCGATGTGCCTGACACTTTCATTTGCATTCAGTGGAATGGAAATTAGGAAAGACCTGTAGAAGTTCATGGCATTTCAATTCTTAGCAGAGTAGATAGCAAACTGCAGTCCAGTACTGACCTTGCACTTGTTTTTTTCAAGTACTTCGTCCAGCCATCCTCTGGACTTTTGGGCTCAATACTTTCATCAATCTTCAGATGCCAAGTGTCTCCTTTATCTTTTAGAACTGCGATTTCTTCATCAAAGACACTTGTCCAATCCTCCTTGCTCATTTTTTAAATGCAGATGAGACTGTTGGTTGAAGAAGAATAAGAGCTCTAACAGCTGATCTTCAGATCTGTCAAACAGCTTGTGGCTGTGATGCATCAACCAAAGGAAGGATTATGGAAAACAGGAAAGTGAAACCTAAAAGTGGACAACAACTCCACCTTAGGTTTAGGTCAGAGTTTAATCAGGTGATTATTTTATTGAGGCTATAATCAATACTGAGAGAACATCTGACACCGACTGATATGTGCAATAGCCACTGTGCTTGTCTTAATGCACTGCACTGGTAGAGCACAATTCAACATTTTAAATTACTTACTGCAAAAATATATGCATTTACTAAGAAATATTCCATATGTATTTTTAGTAAAATATCTTATAGATATGGGTGTCTGAAAAAAAAATCATGATTTATTATCCAATTCATACTTAGACACATTTTATTTTCATTTTGTATACAAAACGAAATTTTGCTTATACAGCTTTCCGACAGTTAATTATTTATTTTTTGTGTGCAGCAGCTTAGCAATGAAAAATAAAGTGCAATAAAGTGCATCACTGATCATAATGTAAACAGTGTGGGAGAGATATGGTGCAAAAAGGCACTGACGTGGGAGGTTCAGAGCAGTGCAAAATAGATAAATAGATAAGGCGCAAAATACAGTAAAAACATTTGAGTTGAGTTCTATTTTCACCATATAGTGCAAGTATGATGTTATCAGTGGGATGCAGAGTCTCGATTTGTGACTTGATTTAGAGTTTCTTCAACAGTTCAACAGTTTTATGGCAGTGGGGAAAAAGCTACAGAACCTGCTGGTCCTGCATCAAATGCTGTGAAGCCTCTTCAGAGAGCGCAGCATGGAGAACTATCTATGGTGGGGTTGAGGAGCCCCATTGATCCTCTGCTGTTTTCACCACTCTTTTCATTTTCTTCCAATCTGCAGCGCTGCAGCCTCCACACCACACAGTGAGACAGCTGTTCAGAATGCTGTCTATGGTGTTTTCTGTAGAAGCTTTTAAGGATGGGTGGGGGCAGGTGGGCTCCCCTCATCCTCCACAGGAATTACAACCACTTCTTTGCCCTTTTGACCAGTGAGGAGGTGTTCGTATTCCAGGTGAGGTTGTCTGTGATGTGCACACACTGGAATTTGGTGCTGCTGACCACCTCTACAATTCAAAGTGTGCAGATTAATGGTAATAAATAATAAAATGTAGATATTATTTACTTTAAAATGTAATATGTTTTGAAAGTGATAAATTCAATGAAACCTCTAGTTATTAATACAGAGAAAAATGATCACCAGGAATGTTATTTGACAAAACTCTGAAAGGTTTAGCAGGACTATACATCCTTCCTTCTTAAACTCTCAAAGCCACAAAAAAAAAACCCAGCTTAACACATAGCTTTAATTGTATAATGAACATTCAACTTTTCTTTATTTTGTTTAATTAATTAAATTAATCCAGCTTTTATGCAAAGGCCTCAGAGGATTATTAAGGCATTAGTGAATACAGCAGACAGGTTGGGTACAAGTGTTTGGTTTCTTGCCAATTTGTACTTTTTCTGCATAATCATTATGTCAACCAAGTTTTTGCATGTTATGTCATACATTTATTTGAAATAATCTGAATTTATGTTTGAAGCATGATTAATTTCTTTAACATACAGCTTTCATATAATGCCTGCGAGCAAAGCTTTTCATTGTAAGGTTACAGAACCCTCTATGGGTCAAGAGGTCCAAAAGGCTTGGAAGGATAGTCACAGGGGCAAAGCTGAACCTTTTTTTTAAAAGTATAATACAGATAAAAGAAAGAAAGAATAATGATGCAGAGAATAAAAAAGCCAATGGAATAAAGAGACTTTAGGGCTAAATGCAACATGCAAATTACTAAAAAGAAGCAAAATAAATATCATCTACAGTTTGAAAGCAAAGTCAAGCTACAGTAATATGTTTGTTTGAATGTCTAAAGAAGGCATTGGCACACAAGAAAAGAAAAACTAGAGCAAACTGAAAAATATTTAGATTTTTTCTTCCAATAATATTAATAACAAAAACATTCAAAAACTGATTTGTGTGTTTGCTTTTATTGCCAAAAATGTTTAATGTTTTGAGACACATATGTTTGACAAAAATGGAATAAGTTGTGAAGGGAAAAATAAAGTTTAATATAATTTTACCTTTTAAATAAGGAATATAAAGACCGACTGAAGATAAAAACCTGGTACAGAGCTGTTGGGTACATAATTTTTCTATTACCAGTGCAAAAGTTGTAACATAGTCATATATTAGTAGAAATTGTATTCATTGTTTAATTTAAATATATATTGATTGTCTCTGCCCAAAACTCATCTACGGATTTATATAAAATAACCCCCTAAATGAAAGTAGAGAAAAAATTAAGTATAATATATAAATATAACAGTCATGCATTCTTTATACATTATAGCAAATTATCTTGTTTAATTATACAGTTCATTAACCTTTTATGAACTTATTGACCTCTGCAAAAAAAAAAAAAAAAAAAAAAAATGGGACCTGCACCATATTTTGGCAACACCACTCCTATCCAGATGTTATTTTGGGGACCAAATTAGTTGAGGCTCTTCTATGAACTGATGGAGTGACCCACGTCTGATGGAAAGGATTAGTTTTTACTCCAAATCAGAATTGCACAAAATGAAAGAGGCTGTGATTATTATTGTTTCTCTTTTTGGATTATATCCCATGAAGAAACTTCACTCAAGCAAAACAGAAAAGACAAAACTGAAACATTTTTTTGTGCAACAATCTCTATATGATATATGGTATCATTAAAGTTCAATATTTTACTGTCAAATAAAACTTTTTTTCTTTCAGTCTTATTTTGAAGAAAATAATACATACATTTTCCAGAGAATCAAGAACACTGTTTATTTGCTACTGGAATCTTATAATTAAAATTATAAATAATTTTTGAAGGACAAACCGGTGAATTGTAATTTTGGTACAATAAATATATTATATAGTAAAAGTGAAAAGAGGGTTTTGCTCATAACTACTAATTGCCTGATTTTCACATTTCTGGCAAACAGACAGAAGCAACTGTTTTATTTTTTACAATCAAATGTTTTATTTCATTATCCACCGAGTTAGAACACCATAATGCAAAAATGCATCAAAAAAAAAAAAAAAACTATATATGTTTGCACAAAACTATGACATCTTTTCAAAAATTGTGCATCTTTTTAAAATAGTGTAATAACATACTTTTTTCAGCTCAGTTCTTAAAGTTAAACTTAGAAAATGTATATATTCTTATGTTTAAAGGCCAGTTTACCACAATGACGAATCAGTTAGAGGTACCTTTTCATCAAATCCTATTAAGACACATTTACTTTGAATTGAAATAATACATAGACATTTTATATCTCATTATTAATGAAAGCAGTTTCATGTAATAACCAATAAATATAGATTTAACACCCACAATAACAAAACACAGAAGTATAAACATAGAGAGAGAAAGAAAGAGGCATTTTGTAGATAATTTCAATAAGTTTATCATTATTAGCTCAATCTCTGGTACAGATTCCTAACCTGCATCCCTCACAATGTTTAGGCTCATGGGGACTCTTGACATCAAGGCTGTTGGACCTCCTGTTTGGCTCTCCGATGTCTTCATGGTAGCAATTTCTTCTAACTTTCTGGACTAGGTTCTCCATCAGGATACGAATGTTTTCTGGCTCAACCAATGGCTTCACCATCGCTGCACTGGTACATCTCTTGCATTCTTGACGTGCAGGCCTGACCTTGACAGTGCCTTGCCCACCCATTAGGCGCATGTGGAAAATCACCATAACCCGGTTTGAAGGCCAAGTTCTCCTACATGAGGTGCAGCTGAATCTAAGACAAATAAAAACACAATTCTGTTTAAAATGTACTTTTGTATTTTATATTATATTACAGAATCAAAGAATCAGTGTTGCTCCCTAAGTGTGGAAGTAGATTTCACAGAAGTTTGAATTAATTGAAGTTATATTGTGTTGTTTATGTGTTCCCTTTATTTTTATCTGTCTGTCTGTCTGTCTGTCTATCTATTTATATAGATATACAGTACAGAAGGTAAGACAATTTGTTAATCACACCACCGTTACTGTAATACAGTATTTCTTATGATTTTTGACAATTTTTTGGGGTTATTTTTCAGTTATTTTATTTTTGACACAAAGCTATAAATGTTATTGTTCTTTGTTTACATGGTATATATCAAAATTAAATAAATGTTCAGGAGCTTGTGGTTGTTGTATCTTGTTTTAATTGTGTTCAGTATCCACTAATTGCGTCTACTCGAAATATAGGTTCAATATCTGAGTGAAAATACACACATACATATTGTTATATAGTAAATGAAAGTCTATGCACACTTCTGTCAACAAGCAGGACTTTAAACTATCTTAATGTGGGGATCTGTTCTACAAAAAAATGGTTATAACAAAAGAAAAAACGATTAGCAATAAATATACCACACCCCCGGATGTATCACAGATCTGACACCAAAAAATGGTAATGGAAAAAAGATCTGAGATAAATACATCACCCCCTGGATGTAGATCTCAGATCTGACACATTCAATGTACATCAAGTATACTGTATAGAAATAAGATATTATCAATAGAAGTTCATGGCATTTTAATTCTTAGCAGAGTAGATAGCAAACTGCAGTCCAGTACTGACCTTGCAGTTGTTTTCCTGAAGTATTTCGTCCAGCCATAGTCTGGATTATTGGGCTCAATACTTTCATCAAACACCAGATTCCAAGTGTCTCCTTTACCACTTAGAATTGCAATTTGATCATCAAAGATGCGTGTCCAATCCTGCTGGTTCATCTTTTAAAAACAGATGAGACTGTTGGTTGAAGAAGAGTAAAAGCTCTAACAGTTGATCTTCAGATCTGTCAAACAGCTTGTGGCTGTGATGCATCATCAAGCAAAGGAAGGGTTGTGGCACTCGGGAAAGTGAAACCTAAAAGTGGACAACAACACCGCCTTAGGTTTCAGTAAGAGCTTAATCAGGCCAGCATTTGCTTGAGGCAGAAACAAAACTGAAAGCTATCACTATAACTGAGAGAAACTCTGACATCTGCTGGTAAGCGCAATAACCACTGTGCTGGTCTTAATGCAGTGCACTAAAATAAACTGTAAGCAAGTAGTGCACAATTCATCGTTTTAAACAACTTATAATCCGACATGCGAATTACCCAGAAAATGTAAAAATATATATTTTTAGTAAAATATTCTATAGACATGGGCGTCTGAAAGCAGTTTATTTTCTGATAGCAAGGTGATATTTCCTTTTATGTACTGATCCTGCCGTTACAAAGCCTCTATTAATACAGAGAAAAATGATCACCAGGAATGTTATTTGACAAAACTCTGAAAGGTTTAGCAGGACTATACATCCTTCCTTCTTAAACTCTCAAAGCCACAAAAAAAAAACCCAGCTTAACACATAGCTTTAATTGTATAATGAACATTCAACTTTTCTTTATTTTGTTTAATTAATTAAATTAATCCAGCTTTTATGCAAAGGCCTCAGAGGATTATTAAGGCATTAGTGAATACAGCAGACAGGTTGGGTACAAGTGTTTGGTTTCTTGCCAATTTGTACTTTTTCTGCATAATCATTATGTCAACCAAGTTTTTGCATGTTATGTCATACATTTATTTGAAATAATCTGAATTTATGTTTGAAGCATGATTCATTTCTTTAACATACAGCTTTCATATAATGCCTGCGAGCAAAGCTTTTCATTGTAAGGTTACAGAACCCTCTATGGGTCAAGAGGTCCAAAAGGCTTGGAAGGATAGTCACAAGGGCAAAGCTGAACCTTTTTTTTAAAAGTATAATACAGATAAAAGAAAGAAAGAATAATGATGCAGAGAATAAAAAA